TGGCCCGTGGCTCGCCTGACCTTCTTTTGTTCTGCTCCCTGGGGCGTCTTCTGCCGAGCCCGCCAGCAGCAGAGGTACAGGAGACAGGAGGAACAAACAAGGACGAGGGTGGCGGCGGCGGAGGTACAGAAGAAGCTTAGGACATGTGATTTGCAAGCCCTGTATACGCCATCGCGCCTCGAGGCCCTGAGGTCCCTCGGAATTCTCTGTACATTTAATTATCGTAGACGCTCTCTCTTTCCAAGGGCCCCCGACCCCTGAGTTCTGGGGGATCCTGGGAGCTGCCTGGCGCTCACGAGCATCGCCGCGTGACTTCACTCGAGACTTCCGGACTTAGCTTGGCGCCAAAACTTCAACACGCCTCAAGATGGCACCCGAGAAAGGCGACGGAGGCACCGCCAAGGAAGGTCCAGCGACGATCCAAGAAATCTGCGCTTCATCAATCAATGACGCTGTGCCTGCACGACACAGCGCCGCCAGCTGAAGGCGCAAGTCCAGACAAGGGCGCTGATCCGCGCCGACCTTCGAGATCTCATTCCCCTGCGTATTGATATTCTTCGGCTCCTCGCTCCTCCGCCTGATCATCCCTCCTTCTTTCCTCAGACCTCTTTCGTTGCTTGATTCCCTTCCTCTTCGTCCTCTCCCTTCTCCTCCGCCTCCTCCGCCTCCTCCTTCTTTCCTCCCTCCCTGCCTCCTTGCATGTTTCTCCCTCCTCTTTTGCTTGACATCACTGCGCCCGTTCGCCGAGCCATAGCATTCGGCGGTGGCGGCTTCCCCCTCCCGCTGCGGGCTTCTCCCACCCCGCCGCAAGGCGCACATTGCATCTTTCCCGCACCTGTTCGGTGCTCCTCCACCCGCCGGCCTCGTGCCGCCTGCTGCGCGCCGCCCCCCTGGCGCCTGCCGCCCCGCCTGTGAGCCCACAGGTGGGGCGTGCTCCTCCCTGTTGGCTTTCCCCTCCCCCTCTCTCTCGCTCTTCCCTCCTCTGCGCCGCCATGGCGCTGCCAGCCCCGCTGACGCCGCCCTTGGCCGCCAGCCGCTGGCGCCCGCACCAGCCCCGGGCCCAGTCTTGCCGCCCGCCGCTGGCGCCACAGCCCCGTGGCTCCTAACGCACCCGTGTTAGGGGTTGGGCAGCCTCGGATTTGACACTGCCACGCATTCGTCTTCGGGTTTCGTCTTCCCGCACTGGGCCCCGCCGCCCCCGGCCCGTTGTCGCAGCAGCCGCGCCGCGCCACACGCTCGGGGAGCGTTCTGACCCATGAGCCACCCGCCCCGTCCTTATTTTCCTTCGGCCGCATCCCTCCTCCCTCCTCCTCCTGCATGGTGGCACAATTCGATCCAATGGAACCCCCGTTCATGCCTTTATCGCCAACGCAAACCGCCCTCTGCCTAGCAACCGACACTATTATCCCGGCAAAGCAACCTAACAGCGATGTGTATAAGCATATATGGAAGCATTCCCCTCAGATTCAGGTGAGAATCCAGTTGTAGAATTCTGCTGTTCTCGCAGTCGCAGTCGCATTCGCAATGACAGTCACAGTGGCAACGGCCTTAGGATCCAATGTAATCCTAAGGATTCCTAGGGATTCCTAAGGCATCCCCAGGCATCCTTAGGAATCCATAGGAATCCTTAGGAATCCTGATTCCTAGGGATTCCTGGGGATTCCATAGGATTCCTAGGGAATCCTAAGGAGTCCTAAGGATTCCTGAGGATGCTTAACTATGCCTACGGATTCCTAAGGATGCCTACGGATTCCCCAGGATTCCTAGGGATTTTTTAGGATTCCTATGGATTCCTACGGATGCCTCAGCCTGCCTCAGTTACAGCCTCAGCCTCAGCCTGCCTCGGCTTGCCTCAGCCTCAGCCTCAGCCTGCCTCGGCCTCAGCCTCAGCCTGCCTCAGCGTCAGCCTCAGCCTGCCTCGGCCTCAGCCTGCGTCAGCCTCAGCCTCAGCCTGCCTCAGCCTCAGCCTGCCTCAGCCTCAGCCTCAGCCTCAGCCTCGGCCTCAGGCCTGCCTCAGCCTCAGCCTCAGCCTGCCTCGGCCTCAGCCTGCCTCGGCCTCAGCCTGCCTCAGCCTCAGCCTGCCTCAGCCTCAGCCTCAGCCTGCCTCAGCCTCCTCAGCCTCAGCCTCAGCCTCAGCCTCAGCCTGCCTCGGCTTGCCGGCCTCGCCTGCCTCAGCCTCAGCCTCAGCCTGCCTCAGCCTCAGCCTCAGCCTGCCTCAGCATCAGCCTGCATCAGCCTCAGCCTCAGCCTGCCTCAGTCGCAGCTTGCCTCAGCCTCAGCCACAGCCTCAGCCTGCCTCAGCCTCAGCCTGCCTCAGCTTCAGCCTCAGCCTGCCTCAGCCTCAGCCTCAGCCTGCCTCGGCCTCAGCCTCAGCCTGCCTGCCTCAGCCTCAGCGTCAGCCTCAGCCTCAGCCTCAGCCTCAGCCTCAGCCTCAGCCTCAGTCTCAGCCTGCCTCAGCCTCAGCCTCAGCCTCAGCCTCAGCCTGCCTCAGCCTCAGCCTCAGCCTGCCTCGGCCTCAGCCTGCGTCAGCCTCAGCCTCAGCCTGCCTCAGCCGCAGCCTGCCTCAGCCTCAGCCTCAGCCTGCCTCGGCGTGCCTCAGCCTCAGCCTCAGCCTGCCTCGGCCTCAGCCTGCCTCGGCCTCAGCCTGCCTCAGCTCGGGCATTCAAACTATGGCACAGGACTGGTGTTCTGGGAACACGAAGATCACGAAGTGGCCCACAGCTGGCCCCGGGCAATCAAAATATGACAAAAGAATGGTGTTCTGGGAACACGAAGAACACGAAGTGTCCTACCGTTGGCTCCGGGCATTCAAAATGTGGCCTGGGAATGGTGTTCTGGGAACACGAAAAACACGAAGTGGACTACGGTTGGCTCCAGGCATTCAAAATGTGGCCTGGGAATGGTGTTCTGGGAAGACGAAGAACACGAAATGGCCTACAGTTGGCTCCGGGCATCCAATATGTGGCCTGGGAATGGTGTTCTGGGAACAGAATCTGTAGGAATCCATCGGAAACTATATGAATCCATGGGATTCCTGGGGAGTCCCCGGGTTCCCCGGCTTCTCCCGGCACCCGCCCAGACCCCCCTGGGGAGTCAAGATGCTCTCTTTTAGCCCACTAGAAACCTATCAGTCTTCGCTAAGTAAAAATGTTTCTCCCTCCTCGTCTTCCTCCTATTCCTCCGTGCTTCTCCACTCTCTCCTCCCTTTCTTCCTCACTCGTTCCTGCAATGGCCCTCCGTCCCCCGAGCTTTGAGATCGCAGGGTGCAGGCACCCTGGCGGGCGCGCCTCGCTCTCCACCGATGGCCCCCGCGCGCGATGCGCCCGCCAGAGACCTGCTGGAGGCCCCCCTCTACGCGGGGCTGAATAAAACGGGGACCATTGAACGCGAAAACGCCGCGCCGATCTTGGTCAGCGTCGGTCTTGGTCAGCGTCAGCTCGTGCATCCTTCTCGCGAATCGGCGACGGCCGACATGGACCATGATCAAGATCGGCATGGACTATTCCCGCGACATTGGTCATGGTCCACGTGTGCATTCCCTCGACTCATTGAAGGGTTGGAAACAGCCTACAGAAATCAGAGGAGGGCCGGTCGAGACAACCAGCCTTGCCTGGCGTCTTGCGCTTGTTCTCTTGCCTCCTGGAAGCTTCTCGTCGCCCCGGCTGGATCCGCCTCGAAGAACGGGCTTGGATGGTCCCTGGGAAACGTCAGGGGACCGATTCTCGAAGCAGGGTGGATTAAAACAACGGCGGCTCAAACTCGGTCCCCGGACCCCTCCCAGCGTCTAAACGCACCACGAGCTGCGTCCAACTACCGATTTCTCCACTCGCCATCCTCTGAGATTCTGAGCGGATCTGGGCAGCCGCCGTTGTCTCAACCTTTTTCTCTCGAGCAGGCCGCTGGGCGAGCGAGGCGCCCGTGGCGTCAGTCGCGCCCGCGCGCGCGCGGGCCAAGCCAGCCTGGCCCCACAAGAGCTCGGAGAAGCGGCGGAATGATGGACGACCCCACCTCCCACCCCCCGCCTCCAGCTCAGGATCACGCAGACCCGCCTCCACGACTCCAGCAGCAAGGGGAGCACCAGAAAGCAGGGGCGGCTGATGCCTGCGCGCTGCTATCCGAGAGCTCGATGCAGCAGACTGGCCCTCCTCCGCGGCATCCCGCAGCACGTGTCGACGGCCAGAGACCGTGCGCGCGGGCGTGGTTCGCCCAACGCACCGCCTGCACCGCGGCCAAGAAAAGTCCTCCTACGATGCGCGCCAAAGAAAGCTTGGCAGCTTGAAGCAGCCCTGGCGCTAACGGCCTGAGGAGGAGCTGCCAACATCTGTCGCCGCGCCGACGAAGCCGGCACCGCGGCAAACCCGGGGTCAACTCTGCGTTCGAGACTGCATCTGGCCCTGTTGGCCGAGTCGCCCTCTCAACGGCGGGAGGCCGCGTCGGAACAAGCGGCGCGGCGACATGTGGTGGGTTCTAGAAACCCTGAACCCAAACAGGTTGACATCTCTTGGGGGCGCCTTTTTCACTTGCGCCGCCTTCCGCCGAATTTCCGCCAGCGTAGCAGCCCTCGTTTTACTTCCGCCACCTTCCGCCGAGGAAGAGGCGCGGCCTTTTCTGGAACGCCTCATATGGCGGTCTCTGAGAGCCTCGAACCCGAACGCGTTACCATCTCTTGGGGGGCGCTTCCGTTGGCTGCCTCTGGCCTTCCGCCCGCTTCCGCCGGCGGAGGCGCCCTCGTCCTACTTCCACGAGCTTCCGCCGCACTTCCGCCGCCTTCTGCCGAGAAAGAGATGCCAACTTCTTGGATCCTCGAAGGCAGAGCCCTGTCTCGAGCGCCCGATGGGTGCATAAGTGAGCTTGGCAAAACGTGGAGGATGAGGAGGAAGCTCGTCAGCGGCACAAGAAGTCCCTTCAGCCCTTTGGGCTTAGGCGGCCTAGCGAGTTGGACAGACATTTGCAGCCCTGCGCACGGATAAGGAAGCAGCAGACGCAAAACCAGACTTCAGCTAACACGCCGCTTGAGACTCACAAGAAAAACCCCGAACCCCGAACCATAACCTCCCTCCTTAATCGTTCTTCCGCCACCGTGCCCTTGGGCACGGAGTGGGCGTGTCCCCATGTCCTTTGCCCAATCCTCTGAGCTTAACTCCTCACTCCTGATGATTCGTTCAAGGGCATAGGCCACACATGCCAAATCTCTAGGGGCTTGTCGCGTCTTGTCGCGTGACTTGTCGGAGCCAAGAAGGCCCCAAGACAGGCCAAGAGGGCCCCAAGAGGCCCCCAAGATGGCCCAAGAGGGCCACGAGTTGCCGAAAGCTCGCTCCAAGACGCCCAAGATGGCCTCAAGATGGCCCAAGAAACCTCCAAGGCGCCCAAGAGCGCCCCAAGACGGCCAAAGAGGCGCCCAAGACGACCCAAGAAGGCCCCAAGACAGGCCAAGAGGGCCCCAAGAGGCCCCCAAGATGGCCCAAGAGGGCCACGAGTTGCCGAAAGCTCGCTCCAAGACGCCCAAGATGGCCTCAAGATGGCCCAAGAAACCTCAAAGGCGCCCAAGAGCGCCCCAAGACGGCCAAAGAGGCGCCCAAGACGACCCAATAAGGCCCCAAGACTGCCCCAAAAGGGGCCCAAGAGAAGGAATTCGAATCGAACATCCGAGCCTCGTCCCAAGGGGCCCCCAGGAGGCCCCAAGAGGCGCCCAAGAGGCCCGACGAGGCCCCGAAGATGCCCCGAAGAGGCCCCAAAGAGACCCCCAAGAGGCCAAACAAAAGACCCCCAGAAGCCTCAAAACGGCCCCCAAGAGACTTCAAAACTGCATCCAAGAGGCCCCCGAAAGGCCTCCCACGAGATTCCAACGAGCATCCCCTCGGCTTCATACCCACAACCCAGGCCCGGTGGCGGTGTGGGCCGAAGGCCATTCGATCCGACGCCCCCTGTGATCTTGCCGCAGGGGTGCCAGGCGTGCTAAATCCTATCGGTTTGGGTTTTGGTTCTTGTTCCAAAAAACTCTCCCCTGGGGTTAAGGCCCAGCGCGGGCCACCCGGAAAGGATCGCGCACAACGTCCCCCAAAAATCACCCCAGACGGCCCAAGATGGCCTCCAAGACGGTGAAGATGGCCCCAGATGGCCTCCAAGATGCCTTCAAAACTGCCAAGATGGCCTCTAAGACAGCTGAAATGGCCCCAAAATGCCTCCCAAACGGTCCAAGATGCAGCCCGGCCTAAGATAGCCTCAGGATGGCCCAAGACGGCCCAAAGGCCCCCAAGAGGCCTCCAAAACGGCCCCAGAGGCCTCCAAGAGATCCTCCAGGAAGGGTCGAAGAGGCCCAAAATCATTGAGCTGCCTTAGGTTTTTGATGTATTTTGTCATTTGCGCCTTTTCGGCCTTCAGACGGCCCAAGAGGGCCCAAGAGGCCCCCAAGGTCGCCCCAAGATCGCCCAATAGGCATCCACGATGGCCCCGTGACAGACACGAGGCCCCCAACACGGCACCAAAAGGGCCCCACGACGGCCCAAGAGGCCTCCAAGACGCCCAAGATGGTATCCAAGACTGCCCTGGAGCATCCCAAGAGGACCCCAAGTCGGCCGAGAGAGGCGCACAGGACGGTTTCCGACGGCGTCAGACGGGCCACGAATGCCTTAAGACAGCAAAAACAAATGCATCCGAGAAGCCCCCTAAAGCCCCCAAGAGGCCCAAGGAGGCCCCCACGATGCCTCCTCCTGGGAGGCCCCAAGAGTGCCCCAGAGGCTCCCAAGATACCTCCTCCTCCTCCTCTTCCTCCTCGTCCTCGTCCTCCTCCTCCTCCTGATTTTCCCCGCCATCCTTCCCCAAGTGTCCCCCGAAGGGTTTCCACAACGGCTGGGGGAACCATGGTCCGATAGCTTGGCAAAGCTCTTGCCACAACGCTCGGCCACGTGGGCGATTCCAAAAGGCAGGAGGCGGTGGTGAATCGCCGTAGGCGTCGTAGATATCCGCAGGCTTGCCGAAGGGATGCCTGGCGTGCTGAATCCTACACGGCTTGGTTTTTCCCCATATCCTAAGATGGCGTTATTGTTCTTACTCGGACGCCGCCGTCTCCATAGAGAGCACACCTACTCATACACAGACTTACCCATACTCAGACCTACTCATACTCATACCTTTCTCATGGTCTGACTTACTCAGGCCTACTCATTTTCAGACTTACTCATGCTGGGACTCCTTCATACCCAGAGTTACTCATAATGTATAAAAGTTGTTTAAGCAATGATTTTGGGGAGACAATTTAAAACAATTGTTCTCCCCAGCGCTGTAGTGCGCTTATACAAAACAAAAGGGAGGCGGGGCAAACTGGATCGCTGGAGACGTCCCCGCGACCGCCCTGGCGCCCTGCGTGCAGGCGCAGGTTCCTGCACACCCCCTCTTGGCGTCAGGCCACGCCTGCCACTCCCTGCGACCCCAGCGTGGATAGAGACTGCGCTCAGGGACCATTCCCTGCGCACCGCGCACCCTGTCTGGGTTGCGAACAAGCCACACCTGACACGCCCGAGCCTGGCGCGGAAACAGACCGCACTTGGGGACCATCCCTTGCGCACGCCAGTGGTGCCAAGATGGCGCAAGATGGTCCAAGTTGGCTCAAGATGGCCTCGTCAGACCACCGACACGTGATGAAAATATCATGCAGCAGGACAGGAGAGGGGCTAGACCAGGTTACGACGAAGGCCGGATCGCCCTCCAGGCCAGAAAGGCCCTCAGCAAACCGCTCAGTTCGAGGCCGCACCAAGGCCACACCAGGTTACAGCGAAGGTCGCACCGCCCTCTGGGCCAAATTCGCGGGGCTACACCAAGATACGATGAAGGCCGTCCCCCCTCTGGGCCACGCGAGCGGGGCTACACCAGGTTACAACGAAGGCCGGCGCGCCCTCCAGGCTAGACATAAGGGGCTACACCAAGCTACAATGTCACATCGGCATTCTCCCTGGTACCGAGGTATATACAAGTGGCATCGATCGGCATCCATGGAATTTTTCCCAGGGGGACAGACTAAAAAATAGTTATTCGGATGCGAATCAATAGCAGTCGGGATCCGGGTGGAGGGGGAGGTGGAAGGGGGGTCATCATTTGTTCAACCGGTTTTGGACATTACCCAGACTCGTTCCCGCACCTGCTCATATCCAGACTTACGCATACTCAGACCTACATATACTCAGACCTTCACCCAGTCTGAGTTACTCAACGCACGGACTGAGACCTACTCATGCTCAGACCGAGTCATACTCAGACTCGCAAGGGGAGCCGCCAGGGGTGTTTTCACGGGCCCGTTCGCGGCCAGTTTGTGGGGATGTTTGAGGCGGTTTGCTCGTTTTCATGCCCAACATCCTTGGCTTTCAGAGCAGATTGGGAGGATGTTTCAGGCGGGGCGCTGGTTTCAGCACCCCTAAGGGGAGCCGCCAGGGGTGTTTTCACGGACCCATTCGCGGCCAGTTTTTTGGGAATGTCTCAGGCGGTTTGCTGGTTCTCATGTCCAACATCCTTGGCTTTCAGAGCAAATTCTGAGGATGTCTCAAGCGGGGCGCTGGTTTCAGCACCCCTAAGGGGAGCCGCCAGGGGTGTTTTCACGGGCACGTTCGCGGCCAGTTTGTGGGAATGTCTTAAGCGGTTTGCTCGTTTTCATGCCCAACATCCTTGTCTTTCAGAGCAGATCCTGAGGATGCCTAAGGCGGGGCGCTGGTTTCAGCATCCCTAAGGAGAGCCGCCAGGGGTAGGACACGGGCCCGTTCGCGGCCATTTTGCGGGGATGTCTCAAACGGTTTGCTCGCTTTCATGCTTCGAGGAAGGAGACGAAGCGTGCTGCTCCGTTGGGCCGTGCTCCGGCACGTACCCTCTAGGGCGCACCGGGGAAGGAGTCGAGGCGTGCTGGTCCCTTGGGTAGTGCTCTGGTACGGGCCCTCTGGGACGCACGGAGAGAGGAGTCGAGGCGTGCTGCTCCCTTGGGTCGTGATCCGGCACGTACCTCTGGGACGCACGGAGGAAGGAGATGAGGGAGGATGCGTACTGGTCCCTTGGGTCGTGCTCTGGCACGTACCCTCTGGGACGCACGGAGGAAGGAGTCGAGGCGTGCTGCTCCCTTGGGTCGTGCTCCGGCACGTACCCTCTGGGATGCACGGAGGAGACTGCAGGAATAGGAGGACCTGGAGCACATTTTCAAGCCATTTTCAGCACCTTTGACTCATACTCACTCACTAGCATTAGGATTCACTCGTCTTCGTCGGCCCTGTCGCCCACGTGGACGCGCTATTCTAGTCAAGCGCTCATGAAAAGACGCTCGCTATGGCATGACATAAAACATGATATTCACAGGTGGGGAGCTCCACACAATGAGTAATTTTCCAACAAAGAACTCCGCATGGGACTTGGCCCAGCGTGCCGGCCACCCGAAAGGCTTGCCCAGAGGTGGCTGCAACGGCTCTTCCTGCTCTAGATGGCTCCAAGATGGCCCCTGATGGCTTCCAAGACAATTAAGATTGCCCTCACGTTCGCCCAAGATGGTCCAAGATGGCCTCCAAGACGGCCCAAGAGAGTCTAAGACTCCTCCAGGTTCGCGCAAGAAACCTCCAAAACAGCCCAAGACGGCCCAAAAGGCCCCCAAGAGGTTTCCAAGACGGCCCGAGAGGCCTCGAAGAGGGCCTCCAGGAAGGCCCGAGGAGGTCCAAATCAGCGATTGTCCTTAGATTGTTGCAGGATTTTAGCATGTGCTCCTTTTCGGCCTTCGGACTTCCCAAGACGGCCAAGAGCCCGCAGGAGGCCTGCAAGATGGCTTCAGAACTTCCCAAGAGGCCCCCAAGACAGCCCCAAGACGGCCCCAAGTCGGCCCAAGAGGCCTCCGAAACGCCCAACAAGATGGCCTCCAAGACGGCCCTGAAACGCCCCAAGAAGGCCCCGAGTCGGTTCAGAGAGGCCCCCGAGACGATTTCCGACGGCGTCCGATTGGTCGGAACGCCAGAAGACAGCCCCAAGAGGCCTGGAAAAGGCTCCAGGGAAGCTCCCAGGAGGCCCTAAGAGTGCCCCCAGAGACTCTCAAG